GCTTTTTTTTCTTTAATCCTAAGTTATATTCAAATATAAGGAAGCTTTTGCCTAATTGTTTCATTGTATAATTTATGTGAACTTTAATGTATTTTCAAAAGGTGTTTAACACTCAATTGTTCTTGATTAAATATATTAGAACTACTGGAAATGCACAGATAAGGTGCTTTTCCTGACAGATGCAGAATGTGGTCCTAAGAGATCATTATTTCTTTCCTTTTTTACAGGTTTTCAGTGGTCAGGCTGCTCTGACAATATTGCCTATGGAGTGGCTTTTTCCCAATCGTTTGTTGATGTCCGGGAAAGAAGTAAAGGATCATCATCAAGCCGGGCATTGATGAATCTCCACAACAATGAAGCCGGGAGAAAGGTATCCATTGATTTTCTGTATTAAACAGCATTCAGTTGCTGTAACTGCCACACGGCTTCATTTACTCAAATCAGGTGGGAGGTGTATCTTTGCAGTCTTTCTAATAAACTCTCTTGCGTTAAAAAGAGTGGGTTATGACATCTGACTCAAGTTTGCATGCTTAAGCTGCACGTTTTACAGTCCCTCATAGCAAGGTTGTTAGCTTTCAGCAGGAGGATAGCATTTTAAATTAAGCCCTTGGAAGTTCTAGATAGTGAAATGATTAAAACAGTAACTGCATAAGAGGAACACTTAAGATTAAGAAGCTGTCGATTTCATGCGCTCATCTTTGCACATCAGACTTTTTTTAAAGTTAAATGGCAGCATACCTCAAGATGTGCTTTCACTGTGCACACAACTTATTGAAACACTCCCCGATTGCGAAATACAGTATTGTCTGAAGCCTGGTTTTAAAATAAAGGAAATATGACCTTTGACTGGGGAGCAGCGGCAGTGTATGAGCTTCAAAGGATCAAGCGGAGATTAATTCCATGATAAGAAGGGACAAAAACAGAAAAGGCACAACACTCCAGCTCCTTGTGTGAGTTAAGAACATACATACGAGCGTAGAGTTTATAAATGAGGGCATTTGGCCCGTCTGGCCAGTTCGGTTGGTTGTAATTCGTTGATCTAAGGATCTTATGCAGCTGTTTCTTGAAACAGCTTCAACAACATGCTGGAGAGTTTTGTTCCACACTCTCATGCACCTCATGGTAAAGATCCGCCCCCTGTTCCTGTTCCTGCTGAAGGAAGCGGGGGAGGTGAGAATCTCAGTGCCTTGGAGGACCGTGTATACCTGCATGAGGTCCTCAGGTACAGGAGCAGAAGAGAAAGTGAGAGAATAGGCACGGCAGGCGAGGAAATGTCCAAACCGGTGGAAGTCTGGGGGCGCAGGTTCACAGGCTGAGGTCGTGTTTTTTCAAATCCGTCTCCTTCCGTTAACCATTCGCTCCTTCCTCTGCCCGGCCAGGCCATCCTGAATAACATGCGGGTGGAGTGTAAGTGCCACGGCGTGTCGGGCTCCTGCGAGGTGAAGACCTGCTGGAAGGCCATGCCGCCCTTCCGCAAGGTGGGCAACGTGCTGAAGGAGAAGTTCGACGGGGCCACCGAGGTGGAGCAGCGCAAGATCGGCACCACCAAGGTGCTGGTGCCCAAGAACTCGCAGTTCAAGCCCCACACCGACGAGGACCTGGTGTACCTGGACTCCAGCCCGGACTTCTGCGACCACGACCTGAAGAATGGGGTGCTGGGGACCGCCGGGCGGCACTGCAACAAGACCTCCAAGGCCATCGACGGGTGCGAGCTGATGTGCTGCGGCCGGGGCTTCCACACGGAGGAGGTGGAGGTGGTGGACAGGTGTAGCTGCAAGTTCCACTGGTGCTGCTACGTCAAGTGCAAGCAGTGCCGGAAACAGGTGGAGCTGCACACGTGCCGGTGACTGGGGGGGACTGGGGCTTCACCAGGGTGTGAGCCGGACTGGACAGGAGGAGTCCCCCCGCGATCCCAGCCAGGAAGAGCCGTAGAAAAAACATGTGTACACGGGGAGTAAAAATATATATATTTTCTAATTTAAAAGTCCCAAAGGATTGTCGGTTTTATTTTTTTTATGTTGTCTTTAATTTATTGGGATTAAGGTGGGAGAGGAACTTAAGGTACCGTCGCTGCTGAGAGAGGGGTGATGATTTCGCAGGGGGGGGAAGGGGCAGGAGCGGTACTTATCTCTCTGTTACTGATGCTGCTTTTGGGACCCGTTTGGGAGAGAAGGACTCCGGGGGAAGTGGGGTGGGGGGGGAGCCAAGGAGGACAGGCCATTGAGGAAACTCACGGTTTGTGGGCCGAGTGTACATTTTCATCGAGACGCAGAAGAAAGGTACACAAGGTGGACACGGCCTTTGGAAATTTTCTGAACAGCGTGGCGCTGCTGAACTGGAGAAATGAGTACGGAACAATGTAAAGAATATTTACCGTCTTCCACACTTCACAGAGTCTTTCTTCCTTCTTCAGAAATGACACAATACTCAGACATTAAGTGGCTTTTTCTACAGCAAGGACTACTGTGTCAGTTCCACAGCTATTTCACTGTAGTTGGTTTAAGCTGACAAAGGAAAATAAATGTACCAAATGCTTAAGATCCTTCAGTCGTTTTATCTGTCTGGATGTGTGAATTCTGGTAGCAATCAGAGCATTGCTCCTCTCAGTGGCAGAAAGAAGGAAGTCTTCACTTGAAAGTGGAGGGATTGGAGTTGAAACGCTGTATACAATAACTGAGGCACTTTTCCTTTTCCAGACGCACATACCCCAACAAAATCTCCCGTGTTCTTTTAACATTGTCAGTTCCAGTAATGTGGGGAGGAGTGACTTCATTATTTATGGCGACATGTATGACAACCAGAATTCCATAATTTCTCTAGTAAATTTTTACATTATACTGTTAAAAATAGCTCTGTAAAAGAATTATACACTGAAGAAGCCTATATTACATATGAATGTATGTTAAATTGAAATATATGTTGTGTCGAAAAAAAATTGTTGTCGTATTTCCTTGAATTTCAGCTGTGACAAGAGTGACTGTGGGCTAATAGTGAAACAGAGTACTTTATCCATCTTTGTAACTATATCCTGTTGTGTCTTGTTTGACTGTTGTTTCTGCTTTCTGCTTTGACTATTCTTTATAATATTTTATTGCCCATGCAAGAACACTTTTAAGAAGCTGGGTGTCTATTGATGATTTATCCATTATGACTCATTGTAGCTGAACCTCCTGGTTTTCTCTTCTTCATGTATTGCTGCAGGAATAATTGCGACTCACCAGTGACTGATTCCACTTTGCATCCCAACTCTCTTTAAATCATTTGTAGATTCCTTGCTTTTTTTAGTGCTTTTCTTCCCGGAGGATGTTAATCCTCTTTACGCACAGAGGAGGTGATCCACTGAAGTGCAGGGCCCACCTGGGAGACAAGCTGATCAGGCAGGAAAGAGAGCACGTGCTTTACAGATTCAATTAAAGGGCAGATGGTGTGATCCTAGAGTGTAATATAGCCAGGACACTGGGATCAAACTGTGATATGTGCTCTGGCATCTTTCATGACCAAGTAGTCAGAATTTCTCTTGGTTCTTCAGAAGGATAGCACCTCCTACAACAGAGTGTAAAATTAAGAGTTGAATAATCTATAAGAGTGCAATTTACTTAAGCAGAGTAGGAAGAAGAAATTCCTAAATGACACTCACTGTT